ATGCATGTGTGTGTCATATATATATATATATATATATATATATATATATATATATATACACATACATACATAATATGCACAGTGCACACACTTATATTATGTAAACAGAAACGTTTATTTTGGATGGATTAATCGTCTGGCAGCACTAGTTTAAAGCGATCATGAGCAGATGTCACAGGTTGTTGTTGTAGGGAAGCTGAATGTGTCGTCAGAGAGCGTGCAGCACGGCGTGGAGGGCCTGATGTATCTCCTCACCGAGAGCTCCAAGCTAACGGTGCGTCTGTCCATCACAGACACTGCTAGAGCAGCAACAGCTGGATGAAAGTCAAGATTAGTTACTATACAGTGAACTTTATTTCTGGTGTAATCTTGCAGATCTCGGAGGTGGATTTCCAGGACTCTGTGCTGGTGCTGGGATTCTCAGAGGAGCTCAATGCACTTCTGCTCCAGCTGTATTTAGAGAACAGGAAGGAGGTCCGACAGATCCTCAGCAAACTCGCCCCCAGCCTCCCACATTACCACAACCTGGAGTGGAGGCTCGATGTGCAGGTGAGACTGAGTCTATCACACTCTACTCTGACTGACAGACTGATTACAAACCCACTCCACTCCACATCAGCAGAGCTAGGTTGATATTAACTAAAATTATTTAAAATGGCTTTTGTTAAAAAAAAAAAACAGTTAAATGTCAAAAAATATAGAAATATTAGATGAAAACGCAAACTTAAAAATTTAAATTGAATATTAGAATTACAAAATGAGTCTATCACACTCTACTCTGACTGACAGACTGATTACAAACCCACTCCACTCCACATCAGCAGAGCTAGGTTGATATTAACTAAAATTATTTAAAATTGCTTTTGTTAAAAAAAAACAAAAAAAAAAACAGTTAAATGTCAAAAAATATAGAAATATTAGATGAAAACGCAAACTTAAAAATTTTAATTGAATATTAGAATTACAAAATTACAACTTTAATAAAAGTAAAAATGAAAAATAGAAACAAAATTAAAATAAATGTAAAATTAAATAAAAATAAATCTAAATAAAACAAAACTGAAATAAGTGACAAAAGTACACAACAATATTACTGAAACAAACTAAAGTTAAAATTAAAATTAAAAATCTAAAAATAAAAATAAAAGTTAATTCAAAATTAGAAATGGTGACTTGCCACTAACTGAAATTAAGTACTAAACTTATTAAAACTACAACTGAAATAAGAATAGGTTCAACCTAAATAAAACCATCAACCACAAAAGTACACAACAAAATTACAAAAACTTAAACTAAAATGAAGGCTAAAAATAAAGCTAATCACAGATTGCCATTATCACTTCATTTTTTTTACCATCAAATTAGAAAACAAAAAAACACTGCAAAGAAAATAAGAGAGAATAATAAAACAGTTATTATAATTATATAATTAAGACGACAATACATTTATTTACTTTTGCTGGAAAATTATGCAAATTAATTGTAATTGACAACTTCATACACAGTCAAACCTAAATATATTCAGACACCTTCAACATTTCTCACATTATATCACAGTTTATTTGCTATAGTTTAGAAAATGGTAATAAAATATGAGAATAACTCAGAGTTAAACTGCGTCAGAACAAACTCCTCTTGATAATGTCAGATAACTTTGATAGAAAGGTATGCAATGAATTCAGCTGTTAAATTTAAGTGCATGATTAGATAATACCAATTTAGGTCAACCAATTACCAAGCAATGCTTAATTTTGTTCAGTCTGTGGTGTAAAAAGGTCACATTAGCAATTAAAGAAAAAACACTTAAGCAAAACATGCTCAGGTCAAAGTGTCTGAATAATTGTTCGTCCCAAATTTGACTGGTAGTCCACTTTATGAAGAATTTCTGGGTATAATATGTCACAGTTTACTTTATTTTGCTATCCTCACTTACATAAATGAACTATAGTGTCCTGCACCCAAATATTAAAAAAAAAATTATATCTGGTGTCTGAATAATTTTTGATTTGACTGTATGTCAAACGGGTCATTTGACCAAGCTGACAAGTTTATAGATATTACAGGCAGAAACTGCAACCCAATGTTTAGTTTGCGAGGCATGAAATGTCATGCTCAAGAACTGTAAGCTTGACCGTTCTGTGTTGGCTCTGCTTGTAGTTGGCGAGCCGGGCGCTCCGGCACCAGGTGAAGCCCACCGTGACGCTGAAGCTCCACCTGGAGGATGGTGCGAAGCGCAGCGCCCGCGTCCTGCAGACGGATCCCGCCACGCTGCAGCATCTCATTGACGAGCTGGAGCGAGCGCTCGCCGAGCTCAAGAGCAGCCACTGCCGCCGCATCCTCCGCAACATCAAATAGAGCCGCAGCACTGATCAACGGCTCGCTTGATCGCTTAAACCACTGATGTTCCTCAGAGACCAGTCAATGCAGAGTTCATCTTTCATTTGTGCCATAAGTATTAACTGGTGCCTTTGCTTTGTATTAAACACATAGTTCACCCTAAAATGAAAATGATGCCGTCGTTTACTCCCCTTCATGTCATTCCAAACCTGTATGAGTTTTGATATTTTGAAGAATGTTGGAAACCAAGTAGTTTTGGGTCCCTTTGACTTCGATAGCCATACAATGGAAGTCAGTGAGACACAAAACGGTTTGGTTCTTCAGGGTATCTTGATAATATAAGATGTTCAATGTAAGATATTTTGATGAATGTTTGTAACCAAACAGTTTCAGGTTCTATTGACTTCCGCAAAATTTTTTGGTCATATTATGGAAGTGAATGGGACCTGAAACTGTTCAAGCCGATCTCATGGCAATTCGCACATTTTTTACGAGGTGACTAATTCCCCAATTCATACTAATTCGTACAACCTCACTCATTTTAATTTGTGTGATTTTTGCTAAATCGTACATATTTTACGTGTTTCCCAAGTGTATGAATTCGAACAAATTCGTACAACCTCATTCATTTGAATTTGTGCGATTTTTGCTAAATCGTAAGTATTTTACGTGTTTCCCAAGTGTATGAATTCGAACAAATTCGTACAACCTCATTCATTTGAATTTGTGCGATTTTTGCTAAATCGTAAGTATTTTACGTGTTTCCCAAGTGTATGAATTCGAACAAATTCGTACAACCTCATTCATTTGAATTTGTGCGATTTTTGCTAAATCGTAAGTATTTTACGTGTTTCCCAAGTGTATGAATTCGAACAAATTCGTACAACCTCACTCATTTGAATTTGTGCGATTTTTGCTAAATCGTACGTATTTTACGAGTTTCCCAATTCGTACAAATTCGTACAACCTCATTCATTCAAATTTGTGCGATTTTTGCTACATCTTATGTATTTTACAAGTTCCCCAATTTGAATGAATTCATACGAATTCGTACAACCTCACTCATTTGAATTTGTGCGATTTTTGCTAAATCGTACGTATTTTACAAGTTTCCCAATTCGTATGAATTCGTACAAATTCGTACAACCTTATTCATTAAAATTTTTTTTTTTTTTTTTTTTTTTTAAATCTTATGTATTTTACAAATTCCCCAATTTGTATGAATTCATACAAATTCGTACAACCTCACTCATTTGAATTTCTGCGATTTTTGCTTAATCGTACGTATTTTACGAGTTTCCCAATTTGAATGAATTCATACAAATTCGTACAACCGCACTCATTTGAATTTCTGCGATTTTTGCTAAATCTTATGTATTTTACGAGTTCCCCAATTCGTATGAATTTGTACGAATGACCCACCCCTAACCTCACCCCTAAACCTACCCATCTCTGGGGTCTAGGCAAATTGTACAAAATCTTATGAGTGAAGTCGTACAAATTAGCCACTGTGTAAAATACGTACGAATTGGTTGTAAGATAGTGCTGAACCATTTGGTTACCAACATTCATCAACATCTTCTTTTATGTTCCACAGAAGAAAAAGGGGGTGAGTAAATAATGACAGATTTTTCATGTTTTGGTGGAGTATCTTTTAAGTTTATGGCACTGGTGTTTGTGTGTATTTTTGGGCCGAATGTTTACATCCCCAGCAATGCATGCATCTTTTGGACCAAGTCATATGATGATCAGTGAACGCACTTTTTCTAAGGTGTCCATAATGTAGAGTAGCTGAATCTGCAGATTTTTTCTTTCTTTTCCATTTTATGCACCTATTTTTAATGAGGCCAAGATGACCAATAAACTGCCTGTTTCCTTATTGCACTGTTAACATTTGAACTGTATTCATAGATGCTCTTGTGCTTTTATTTGTTTTTCATCAGTTCATATAATAAAAACGTAATCCTTCAAATTTAACGTGAATGATTTTTTTTAATGCAGTAAATGCACAAATGGATTTGGGGTTTACTTTGAGCAAGAAACTTACTGAAGCACGTGCTCTTTTTGTTAGCGATTTAACATGATCATGAATCATTTAGGCTTTGTTGAGTATCAGGGAAACTGTTTACTTGTGTTAGGATAATGATTAATGTGCTTATTGCTAATTTTTAATCTACATGTTAGCGCAGTCATCCACTCCCTTATGCTCGAGGTTGTGGTGTAACTTTAACAGTGTTAAAAACATGTGAGAGTATTACAGTCAGGGGCGTAGCCATCATTTCAGACGTGAGGGGGACAGAAATGTCAAATGTAATAATTGTATTTATTTATTTATTTATTTACTTTGATTTTTTGACAAAAAAAAAAAATTCTTATCTCTTACTTTTAATTGGCTAAGAAATCAAATACATTGCTGAGAAATGATAGAAATTAACACTTTTATTTAGCAAGGATGCTTTAAATTGATCAAAAGTGATGATAAAGTAAGTTATAATGTTACAAAAGATTTCTGTTTCAGTTAAATGTGGCTCTTCTGAACTTTCCATTCATCAAAGATACCTGAAAAAAATCTACTCAGCTGTTTTCAACAATAATAATAATAATAGGAGTAATTATGCTAAATATTTAGCTTTGAAATCACAATAAATTACATTTTAAAATATATTCAAATAGAACAGTTATTTTAAATAGCCTAGTAAAAATATTTCAAACTTTTACTGTTTTGCTGTACTTTGGATCAAATAAATGCAGGCTTGCTGAACAGAAGAGACTTCTTTAAAAAACATTAAAAATTGTACTTTTCAAAAACTTTTTACTGGTAGTGTATAGGCAACTTTAATTTTTTCTCTAATTTCTAGCTTTTAATTGGCTTAGAAATCAATGTCTTCATGTTTCCAAACGTTTCTGTTTTCATACAGCGATAGCTGGACGCTTTTGTCCATATTAGGAATTTCCTCGTACGACATTCTGCGCGAGAGCACCCTCCGGCTTTGAGTATGAATGAAACATACACTGCACGGAGTGTTTAGCGCTCCGCGATGTTCATCTCGCCTTATTCTGGGTCCGAATAAAACATCAGATCATGCACAGACTATCCTGTCTCTTTGAATTTAAATCTATATTTATTCACACCGGCTCTTGAAAACCTCTATGCAAACACACTTGCCCGAAAAAGTGCGGGGGACTAATTGACGTGATATTAAAAGTGGGGGGGACACGTCCCCTGCGTAATCTACGCCCCTGATTACAGTATTACAGTGCAACTGTGTTTAGCTTCATGTATGAAGTGCTGCAGGATTGTAGGGTCCCTACCAGTGCTCTGTCTATATATTAACTTTTTTTTTTAGTTTCAATTATTTTTTGAGTTTAAAATGTTTATTAAATATAATATTAGCCATTTCAATACCTTTGATATTTTATAATTACAATAACATAAATAAAAACAACAACAACAAATTATGAGTAAATTGTTTTGTTTAATAAACTTTGTTAACTTTACACTGTAATATTTCCTAGTATCATTTATATAATATTATAGCATTGCAAATGAGCTTTTATTTCGACCTTTTCGGTTTGAATTTAATTTTTTTTTAAGTTTTAGTCATTTTCATGTTTTTTTTTTCCATTAGTTTGAAAATATTTCACATTTTTATACACTTTTGTAATTTTTTTTATTATCTTTTTTTTATATTTCTTTTCTGGCTTATTTTAATTTCAGAATTAGTTGTAGGCATTTTAGTACTTCACATATTTATTTCAGTTCATCAGTGCTCTGTCTATATATTAACTTTTTTTTTTAGTTTCAATTATTTTTTGAGTTTAAAATGTTTATTAAATATAATATTAGCCATTTCAATACCTTTGATATTTTATAATTACAATAACATAAATAAAAACAACAACAACAAATTATGAGTAAATTGTTTTGTTTAATAAACTTTGTTAACTTTACACTGTAATATTTCCTAGTATCATTTATATAATATTATAGCATTGCAAATGAGCTTTTATTTCGACCTTTTCGGTTTGAATTTAATTTTTTTTTAAGTTTTAGTCATTTTCATGTTTTTTTTTTCCATTAGTTTGAAAATATTTCACATTTTTATACACTTTTGTAATTTTTTTTATTATCTTTTTTTTTATATTTCTTTTCTGGCTTATTTTAATTTCAGAATTAGTTTTAGGCATTTTAGTACTTCACATATTTATTTCAGTTCATTGCCAAGGCAGTAATTCTCAATGTTTGATTTATTTATTTATTGTAAGCTTTTCGTCTAATACTTATATTTGATTTTAGCGTTATTTTCATTACCAAATATTTTGAGTTTAATTTCTAGTTAACAGTACAGTTTGTATCCCATGTAACTTCAACATTGTTCTATATTTCGCAGTGAAACTGGATATTCAGCGGGACACAATGCATGGTGGGATATCCAGAACTAATTGGATAGTGAAAAGCATCTCTGTATGACAGATGAAAGGGGTTAAAAATAATAGGACTTGGAGACATCATATGACAACAAAAAAGCCTTTTTAGAGGCGGACCAAGCTATTAGATTTTGATTAAAAAAAAAACACAATAAGACCAGCAATGTAAAGTAATAGATGTGGAGTTTAACTTTTAGAAGAAATAATTTTAATAGATTATTTTTAGTAAAAAAAATCAACAGAAATGGTCCTTATACCCTGAATGAATGAATAATTAAGGAAGCCTATATAGAGCTTTCTGTACATTTTGATTACACAGTATTAACATAAATTAATAACTTAATGTGATGCATATTTGTCAGCTGTACAGAAATCATTCAATACAGTTCATGCAATCAGAAAAATCATGGCATACTTTTTTTTATTATTACCTGATTTTATTTAAATATATATATTTTTTAATGCATTTTCAAAATGCATTTATTTCAATTAATCAGCATAAATCTGTTCACTGTGAAAACAATTATATTTATCCATTTAAATGTATGAACATGATTAAAATATGGCTAGCTGTGGAATAAGCAATATTCAATTACTGGTAGATTTATTGGTGATTCATTTGTGTATGACTGACAAATATGCATCACATTATGCTAATACAAGTCGAATCTGTGTGTAATGCTAATAGATGGACATTTCATGAGCAATACATGCATCTTACACTGAGGTGTAAAGGCCCTTGCACACTGAGTCCGAAGTTTTCACAAGTTAAAAAATAAATACCACCTCACGTTGTGTCAATCATTTACACACCGCCTCCGAAACTTTTGTCCCTCATAAAAAAAATTAGAAATGGGTTTAATTTTCTGAACTTTTCGCATCCGTGCATTTGTTGAAGATGTGAGGACAGGAGGAGCTGATGACAGGTGTGTTTCCCATGAACTCAGTGCTAACATTAGCTCAGCTCCTGCTGATGTCAACTGTTCCTCATCACAGATGGACTGTGTGTGTGTGTGTGTGTGTGTGTGTGTGTGTGTGTGTGTGTGTGTGTGTGTGTGTGTGTGTGTGCATTAGACATGTACGCTGATGCTGAGGTGTGACTGGGATTTACACAGCTGACCTGATAAACAGCTTCACAACACATCTGACCCACATGTTGTACAAATTATTTTTATACAAAGCC